ACATTTGAAATCATTTGACGACTGAAGAGCAGGATATCTTCATTCACAACTACAAAAGGACCAAAGAGATCCATACACCAGCAGACACACATGAAAACTACAGGGAAGTGTGCTTAAAAAAAGAGAACAGGCACCTCTTTACACACAAGGTGGTGTGGGTGTGGAACAAGCTGCCCAGCAATGTTTGGGAAGCTGATACACTGACTTATTTCAAGAAACAGATAGAATATTTTATCTCCTGAAGATCCTCAGATCAATTCGTTACTAACCAACAAACTAGATGGCTGGATGGGCCACAGGGGCTCGTGGTTGTCCCCTCTCACATTCTTCTGAATCGTCAGTTTTACTGAGATTTTCATACCGTGGGTAAACATTAGCACAGCAATTTGAGGGGAAGTCATTTAGATAAATAGCTACATTTTCTTTCCCTTTTCCAGTGCTGAAAACCTTTCTCCAGATGGGTCCAGTTTTAATTCAAACTACACACTGGTGGCGGTTCGGCTGTTGAAAGAACCAGAAATATTTCGCCAACTGGAGTGACGATGCAGTGACACACCTACACAGGATTCTCACCCCCCGCAGCTCAGAAGCCTCCTATGCAGAGTTCACGTTCAAACCGGGAAGATAAAAAAGAACAATTTGAATGCATTTTCATTAAAAGATATAACATTGGCAGCAGCACCCTGCTTTGAATTTTGATATTAAACAGGTCAATCAGCTTCCAAATCTATACATTTACATAATTTCTCTTTGGGTGAATTCAGCGGGATGCTAGCTGAAGGGTGTTTCTCTGTGGTCAGTCCAGGAATGGCATAGTGAGGCTCTGCACGTCCTCAGGTACAGGCTCATCGTGGACTAAATGTCGAACACCGGGGCGGGGCGGTGTGATCGAGCTCAGGGATTCGCGTTTCAGAGGAATACAAACACAAACACGGATCAGCGGGGCTTCCTGCTCTCACATGTAGCTACTGCACCATAACCAAGCGTCTCTCGTGAGAAGAGTCTTCCTGCAGCAGGATTCTTCTCCTCACTGAAGCAACCATGTACAACGATGCGTCTTTTACAAAGCAGAGATTTATAATCACGTTTTGGTGCCAATTCTTCCCCACGTGTGGCTCCTCTCCCAGAGCCAGACGACGGCACACGCGGCAGGAATGTTTCAAGTCCAGTCAAAAAAACAAAAAAAAGAGAAGAAATATCTCCGAGAGCCAGATTCCGCTCAGCGGAGCGCTTGTCCTCCTGGGAATGTCCGGGCTGCCTCGTTCTCGCCTGGCGGTCCCACCTCTGCACACCGCCGCCTGCGTTAACGAGGGGCAGGCCGGGGGGGGTCCAGGAGGCGACCTCAGTGTCGGGGCGCCGGGCAGTCAGAGTCACAGCCACAGCGGTGGGCGAGGGGGTCCGGCGCAGGCCGGCCCAGGCTCTGCCTGGCCTCTGGAGTCCGGTCCCGGCCCGGCCCGGCCCGGCTAGCTGCCCTGGCTGAAGCTGCGGATCTGGGAGAGATACCGGGCCAGGCTCTCCTCGCCCTGCAGCCGGTGGGCGGGGGGCTCGGCGGGGGGCCGGCAGCCGCCCGACACGCCCAGGACGATGGCGGTGAGGGAGCGGATGTAGTTGCGGGCCAGCGTGAGCGTCTCGATCTTGGACAGCTTCTTCTCGGCCTTGACGTGGGGGATGGCCTCCCGCAGGGCCTGGAAGGCGTTGTTGAGCTTGTGCATCCGCTGGCGCTCCCTCTCGTTGCTCTCCAGCCGCCGCGCGCGGCGCTCCTTGGTGCCGGCGTGGGGCCGGCGCCGCCGGGGGCCCCC